TGTAGATGCACTTGAGCTGAACTGTCGAAAATACCTTTTTTATATTTCTTACTGTTTCTCAGGTAGACAACGGTAAAAAAATACATATAAAATAGGAAACTGAATTGTAGTGTGATCAAGTCTATTGCTGCCAGAAAAGCCTGGTAACTCTACTTCCTTTCTTCTATTTTTTTCCTTTAAAAAAAAAAATAAAGGGCAACTTAGAGCATCTTGGATTGCAGACTTTAGAATGAAGAAACCAAATGCTTATAGAAGCCTTTCATAGAATCATAGAATGGTTTGGGTTGTAAGGGACCTTAAAGATCATCAAGTTCCAACCCCCCTGCCATGGGTAGGGACACCCTCCACTAGACCAGGTTGCTCAAAGCTTCATCCAGCCTGGCCTTGAACACCTCCAGAGATGGGGCCTCCACAGCTTCCCTGGGCAACCTGTTCCAGTGTCTCACCACCCTCACCGTGAAAAATTTCTTCCTAATGTCTAGTGTAAATCTGCCCTCTTTCAGCTTATAACCATTACCCCTTGTCCTCTCACTACACTCCCTGATAAAGAGTGTTTCCCAACCTCTCCTGTAGGCCCCCTTTAAGGTACTGGTAGGCTGCCATACTGAGTGAGTTGTCTATGTGATCTGTAGCAGCACAGAGGCTAAATCTGTCTCCTGCTGACTTGCTTGGACCTCTCCTCTTGAGACAAACAAGATTTTCCAAGTCAGATGGGTAGTAAAGGAGTATAGAGGATTCTCTGTTGTGCAGATGTAAATGAAGTTACTTTCTGGGTCTGTAGTGTTAAGAAAGAGTCCTCTGGGGGTTCCTCTGTCAGCAGAAGGTTAAGTTGTCCTAGCCTAGCTTGCCTAGCTCATGACTGGTGAGAAGGCTGATTACCTCTAAGACATGGAGACTATGACAGCTTGAGGCTTTCCCTCTGTACCTTCTCTGTTGGGGTCTGACGTGCTGGAAGGGCTTGCAGCCCAGCTCTAGACATACTGACTTAAGCAAAACAACTTCCTTCACTGGCTGTGGGGGTATGGCAGTGGTTGATGCATGGGTGTCCTCAGCTTGAGGTCCGTGAAGCGATGAGAGGAACGTCCAGCACTGTCTTTACCTGTTTGTCTAGCTCCTGTGTCTGTCAGGGAAGTTGCCAAACTAAACTGGTCAAATAATATAGTGGCTTGACTAAAATAGTGACTCTGTGCCAAGCCAAGAAAGTAATTCTGCCCTGGGAAGCTTTTGCTAATTATAAGGATTTTGATTTTTCTGAGGAGATGTCTGGAGTTGAAGGGTCTGGGCTGTGGCCCTTCCTCAAACCAGAGAGATGCCTGAATTGTGGCTCCAGGTCACAAAGGCTCTGACTAGGGTATCAATTCCATAATTTGATTAAAACTTGCTCCCATTAAAAATGTCTCTTGAGTAACCTTTAGTGGCTTTAAACATCATCTGCTGGTTGTCTGTTGCTTCACCTTGTGCTTCCTGATTCAAAACTACACCAATATACTGCTTAATTACTCAATGCTACGGTGGACTTCAAACCTGACTTAAAGCACATGAATAAATCCGACCTGACTTCAAAGTGGTTCATATCAATTTCTTATAAAGAGAAACTAGGAAGGGAAACTGACATTCCTTCTAGCTCTGACAATTGCTCGCCTCCCTTTTTAGCTGAACTTAAGGGAGTGAGCCTTTAGAACCCCTAGCTGCATTCATGTATGTGCATGCATTTATCAACTGTCCTGACTTTACTGAACATGTGAAGGAGCCAAGGAAGTTCTTATCTCTTGCCTGACTAGAAACCAACAAAGCCCAACTGCTTTGTATGCTACATTCTCCTGTGCTCCATCCTTTCTGTGCTGAGTGCAATCAGAGCCGCATGCTTGGCTCCTCCTGGGATCTTGGCTAGATGTATGTGTCCCAGAGCAAACTGGGATGAAACATTTTCAGGCAAGAAGTTAAAGTAACACAAATGCTCATTAACAGTGTTAAAAGCTCTCTGCTAGATGACATCTAGCTAAGAAGACAAAAGTTATTAAGTACTCAATAGCTCTGCTTGTGTAGAGCATGAAGATCTTAGTCTGTCTAGCAGAGTAGCTCCCTGTAGATATTTCTTTTCCCCTTCTTGTCCCCATTAGATCCATTCCTCTAACGACAGTTCTGTCTTGACTTCAGTTATTCCTGAAAATACAGGTTTCTCACTAAGAAAACTGAAATTGTTTTCCCAGTGACAGAGGACTGCATGAAGCCCTAGGGTAGTCACGGATGTCTGCTTGATGATTCACCAACACAAGACAACAATGTTCACTGAGGCCGAAGAGACAACAACTGTGCATGAATTGAAAAAGTTGGTGGAGGGAATACTGAAGAGGCCACCAGAGGAGCAGTGGCTCTACAAATATGACCACCTGCTGGATGATGATGATAGGACTTTGGCTGCTTAAGCCACAGCCTAGCAAAGCTGCTGTCCTCATGTTCCTGACACAGTGGGCTGGGCTTTATTCAGACTTGGCAATGGCATCTTCAAACTATTGCATGTTGACCCTTTTCAAGCACCGCAGAACTAACTGATGTTACAAAGTCACAGGGGTCTGGTGGCAGCCTGAGTGAGCAAGCCTTGTGCTAGAACCAGCTTCTCCTGTTTTGCCTCTTGCAAAACAGGGTGCTGGTCATGTCTATGTATCCTGTGTCCATCCACACCCTTCCAAGTGTGTCTATCTGACCAATAAAGCACTGCAATTCAACTACATCATGTCAGTGTGCTGTAGCATCCAGGCAGCTAGCAGAACAGTTTAATGTCCTACTACTCGCATTAGTGCTACAGGAGAAGGGTGACAGCAGCTACATGTGTGCCTCCTGAACTGTAAATGGCATGTTCTGCCACTTGTGTTTTTCTCAGCCAATGCATGAGAGCTTACCAGTTCTGAGCTGCTGGGTTGTTTATTATTTTTTTGGGGGGGGAAGAAGTGTTGCACAGACTAACTTGGTATACAAGCATTTGTTTCTCTGCCTTCCTCTTGACTTCTGACAGTAGTGCTTCTGAGGAGTTTGGCTGGAAATCTTGGGGGACAGGGGTGTAGAAGGAACTTCTAGTCCTGCCTGTAGCAAAATCTTTAGGAAGACTATAACCTTAAGATCCAAGCAGAGGGAAGGTTAGCAAATGGAGCTTATTACCCCAAAGTTACGGGACATTGCACTAATACAATGCACAACAATTAATTTCTGGAGTTGACATGAATGACTGGCATGGACTGCTGAAAACCTCTATCAACTGGGCAAAGATTTTTTTCTTCAAAGTATTAGGAATTTGATAGATGCTTTCTGGCATCTGCCTTTTCCATTCTCGAAAGGCAACAAAAATGCAGTGCGAAAAGGGTAGTATGCCCAGAAACTGCAGTTTGAGAGGTCTGTAAGAAAGAAGCTGGTTACCATAGGCACTAGTTCAGTCCTATCAATGTTTCTACTGTTAAGAAAGCTTACGAAGTTGATTCTCTTACCAAGCAGAAGTGACCTCAGCACTATTTTTTTTTTCTATGAACCAGATTCTCTGTTTCAGAATTAGTATTAGACTTTCCTTTTCATCCTTGGTGATGATTTCACAAACCATCACATCAGACTCAGCTCACTCTGCTGTGCTGCAAGGGGCAAACTCCTGGTTTTGCTCTGTGTTAGCAGTCAGAGGTGCTAATGCATCTATTCCCTTAATGAAACTCTGAAGCAGTGTTACTAAGTTTTCATTCTCCTGTGCCAACGGTAATTCAGGCAGGCCAGTCTATGTCCAAGTTCAAAAAACACTCTTAAAACTACTCAGTCCTGTCCATGATAGCTCCTTGTAGGTTTCTCTCTGTACTGATAGACTAAACACACTTCTAAAATGCTGCTTACATTCTTAAACCTCACTGGAGCAAACAGAAATGGAGATCGAGTCTGCCAGTTTAATGAGGATCAAGGTTTTTGTGTTCTATGTAGCTCCGACTTGTCCATTCTAGCCTCCTGCACAGGAGCACTGTGGCAGAACTAGGATGCCATCTAGTGACTAGTGAATTTATAGGAGAGAAAAAAACAATACCAAAAAAAACCCCTTAGCAACAACAGAAAAAGTTCCAGAGCTGTTGTATGTGTAGCTAAATAAGCTGTACTAATGTAGCTGGGCTGTATTTAGAGCAATCTGCTCAATCAAGCTCCTGATACTTCCCACTAGGCTTCCTGAAAAACTCAGGTCTTCTCTGAAATTCTTGTCTGGCAGTGAGCACCAAGCAAAGAACACAGGCATGCCAGTCTCCATTCATACAATTTTGGTCGTTCTGACTTTCAAACTCCTTCTTACTGAAAAAGAGATGTAAGAGTCCCCCATTCAGAAAAGGTACTTGGAAGAAGGTGAAAGGAGATATTAATGAGGAATATTGTCTGCTCAACAGAAATTATGTCCTAAAAACATAGGCCTGAGGCCAGCCATGCAGACAAACCAGATGCTGAGCTTCTGAGTATTATGCTCATAAATGTCTCTGCCAGGATTCGTAACAACATTACAAAGTTGATACCTTATTTAACCCATTCGTATAATTTGTTGTTAACAGTAGAGAATAACACTTTATGCTTTGTATACCCATTCAACACCACACAACCCCTCACACCCGCAAATACTATAAATAGGAATGAACAATTGAGCTGGAAAAAAAGAGACTTTTGTTAAATAATCCTGTCTATGACTTCAGGAGTCTAAAGAATTTTGAGAGAATACTGCATCAAGCAAGACTCCTGCTCACCTCTCCTTGAGCATCACCGTTGATGCACAGGACAACATCCCTTTGTCCAGAAGCAGGGCAAGAACAGGAGAGCACTCCAATAGAATAAAATCTTGTAGCCCCTAGGAAGTTTCCTCTCTGTGCAGGACCTGGGGAGACTAAGGTATAGTGCTGTTAGACATCAAGCAAGTCCAAAACTGGGAACTGAAAAGGGGAGGCAAAGTGCCTCAGGGAGCTGTTCTAGTCTCATGATGCTAACTTGGCTCCATATAGCATGTTAGGGAAGATACACCAGCCCCAAGTTGGTATTTCAGCCCAGTTCAGCTACCATATCCTCTACAGCAGGCTGGAGTGACTTCTGTGTTATACAGAAGGGAATTAATTCTTTCACATTCTCTGAACCATTACAGCAAGCAGTTTTGTTTAACAGCTAGCTTCTGCCTCTGTAGATTTGCCCCATCCTTGGCAGGCCAGGGCAGCAATGGAACAAATTCCTGGAATTACAGTGGAGAAAATACTGGAATATTTTGAAGGAGGTTATCTTGTGGTGGCAAAGGACTGCAGTTTATCAGTGCTCTATAATGAAGATCTACTTGAAATATTGCCTATGCAAAAGCACTGAAGCCCTGGAGAAATGTAAAAAGCATGGGTCAGTGATTGAGACTTAGATGCTGAAAGAAATGAAATGTGAAACAGAATTTTTGAGGGTGGGGAGATGTGTTAAAGTAACTGCATCTTGCTGAGCACTTTAGATTGGTCATATGACTTGTGTGTTCTGGTGTTTCATATAAATACCTACTATAAAGCCAATCAGTTTGCCCTAAAATAAACCACAACTTGGCCCAGGGAAACATGCATACAACAATAGATTTGAACAGAAATGTGAAGGCTTTCACAAGGTGCCAAGGCAAACTTTCCTGCATACCAGGAAACTAAGAGCAAAATGAACAAGCAAAATCATCATGAACCAAATTTATCTAAGTTTCTAAAATGTGCATAAAGCAGAAAATGAACTGCAAATCTCTAGCTTCTTTGGTATGCCTAATGTAAATGAGACATGCACTACCCTTGTTTATGAGTGTTCAAGTTGGATTTTTATTTTCAAGATTGGGACAAAAATCTTAATGGAAACAAAACATGAATTGGTATTAAACCATTAAGTTTTAGGTGACAAACACTGTTCAATAGGAAAACTTCCATCAGATTTATGACTTGTATTCTGATGTTTGGTTTAAAAGACTTGGTGGATGGTAGGCTAAGGACTAGATTTCATTTTCAGGGCAAGAACACCTTGCCAGTACTCAAAACACTTGTCTTGAAAAGATTTACTGGGAGTAAAGTGACCAGGGCCAGCTATCTGAAACTGTCTCTCTTTCTAGCAGGGCTAGTGCAAGAGCTGTGTGCTACTGGGTGGAGAGAGGGAAACTGGAGGGTAGAGAGCACACAACCAGTTCTCCTCTGCCCAGGCTGTGTTGCTTCACAAGTTTCTGCAGAGTCTCTCAGACCTTGGATACGTCAGGAGAATTAAGGAAACTCTTATGTGAATGTTTCAGTTCCACTATGTGGAGCTAGTGGTGTTACGACCCAAGGGCTTTGAGGGGATGTATACTTTGTACGGGTCTGTAGCCGTGTGTTAAAGCAGTGAAATGCCAACACAAAACGTGATTTAGCAAAAGTGGGAAGTCCAAAACAGAGCTTTGTACATGTTTCTCTGCTTTCTCAGTTTTGAAGGTTTTGTCATCCTCCCACAACTAGACTCCTTGCTACAGAAGGGAGCCAAGTCCCTGCTGTGCTTCTGGTGTTCCTAAAACTAGATGCAATGGGTAACATCATCTATTTCCATGTTGAAATTTGGAGCAGACAAGAGAAGAGCAGTCTGCTCCCTGGAGGATTTTTGGGCTAGACACAAAATAAATCTTTCCTACTTCTGCATAGCAGGCAAAGTAGGCTCACATATCATAACAGGACACAGCAGATGGTGGACAAAGGTGCATGGGTGGATTTAAAATTGAGTCAAATAGGTCTGGATCATGTAGGAGTGCTGGTAAGGCTGGCTTTTCTGGAATTTACTTGCATAGGTCTACTCAGGCTTAAAAAGGAAAGTAAATCTTTGGTCACAGGTTACTTAAGGCACATCCACAGAGAACACCATCTTACAACTCAACCTGGTAGTCTCTTACAGACAGTAAGACATTCATAGAATGGTTTGAGTTGGAAGACTTTTAAAGATCATGTGGTTCTGCTCCCCATGCCATGGGTGGATTTATCTTCCGCTAGACCAGGTTGCTCAAAGTCTCATGCAGCCTGACCTTGAACACTTTCAGGAGGGGGCATATTCAACTTCTGGGCAACCTGTTCCAGTGTCTCATCTCCCTTATAGTAAATCATTTCTTCCCTCTATCTAAACTGAATGTACCCTCTTCTAGTATAAAATCCTTACCCCTTGTCCTACCACTACAGGCCCTGGATAAAAAGCCTCTCTCCATCCTTGCTGCTACCCTTCCTGTGTCACCTCCTTTGGTGGAAACTAGAAATAGTAACCCTACAATTTCCAGGTACTATGGTGCAGTAGTTTCTCAAAGCATTTCCAAGTCCTCTAGCCTCAACCCTGAAGTTCTGGAGTCTGTGTTAGGCATGGTGTCATTAGAAGATGCCTTCAAATATGCTTTCTCTTAGCATGGGCATGCAAAGGGAGGTAAACAGGTTAAAGGCCTAGCTGCTAACGGGGACAGTGTCTCCCAAGCAATGTCACTGAACATGGATAGATTATTTTGTGAATGGTAAGTCTTGAGTTTTAGAAGCAGAAACAGAAGAGGCAAGCTAGTCTTTCTGCTTGTAGTCATGCTGTCAGACAGTTTTTCCAAGAAACACATGTGCTTTGTGGTAGGTGAATTGTGATCTTTATATGCAAGTATGTGGGTGCAGTTCCAGACTGGTTCTAACCCAACTTCAGCATCCTTAGCAGGTGCTGAAGGGGCTGGGACTGGTCATCCAGAACAATGACTTGGCCAAGAACATTGGAAAACAAAATTTTGGTGCTAGAATAAGGAAGGTGGTAGCTGGAGGCAAGCAGGAAACTAACAGCCTGCACATGCACTGGACTAAACCAATTAGGGAGCTGTCATCTGAGGTAAAGCCAGTTTATTACTGCAGGAACAAATCTAGTAAGAAGATGGGCTCCTCTTTGTGGGTGGATGTTGCAGAAACTCACAGAAACGAAGTTGGACCTGGTGATAAACAGGACTTATTTGTAACAAACTGATAATGAATTTAAGCTTATCTTTAACCAGAATTGTTTTAAGACTCCAGTAACACTGACAATTCACAGGTACAAAAGGTCACTTAAAAATCAATATTTACACAACTGACTTCAGAATTCTTGAGCTTTAGAATGACACCCCATAATGCACAATCACTTGCCAATAAGGCAAGGGCTCTCAACCTTGGGGAATTAGCTTAGGCAGCATCCCAACCCAAGGGGAGAGTCCCTGACTGCAGGCCTACTGCTCCAGGCAGGACCAACTCAATTTGCCCTCTGGCAGAATCCTGTTTATGCCCGGGTTGAATCTGATCTGTGGTCAAATAAGGTCCTGTTGGCCCTCGTTGGGGACCCATCTTCCGGCAACAGTATACATGACACTAGTCATAGTAAAGGCATGAAAAGCAACGAAGGGAAGGAAAGAAAGGGTGTGAAAAGCCCTGGTCTTTGTCAGGGTGGGTGTACCTGCCACAGTGGGGCTCAAATAGCATCTGCCGCTGGGATGGCAATAACACAGAGAAAAAGCTCTCCCTTATGCATAAAAAAAGACTGAATATTACTATGCAAGCTCTAAAATGATCTGTCTGTGCTCCATTCCCCTACAGCACCCTTATGCATAAAAAAAGACTGAATATTATTATGCAAGCTCTAAAATGATGTGTCTGTGCTCCATTCCCCTACAGCGAATCAGGATGGCCTCACAAATCCCATCTCCTCTTGGCAGGCAAATTTTTTTGTTCTTCTTTGTTGGATATTGGGACAGGCTGTGAATCTGAACGTTCTACTTGCTGTAAATAGCAAGATTCACGTCTGAGAACATTAATCCTGTCTGTACATGGGGGCACCCATAAGAGGATAGAACAACAGCTTGTTTTTTAGAATTTCTCTCACGGCCTTGATGCTTGGGTAGAGTCCCTCTGAAATGGCTCAGGCATTGTAATGCTCGTAGCCTTTAGATTATTTTCAGACATTACACAATTGGATGCCTCATCTGCTTCTACTCTGAGAGTAGTCAAACTGGAAAACTTAAGCACATAGCGAGGAGCTTGGGGTAAATGGATTTCAGTGGATTTTATTCTGTTTCGGACGTCAGATTGTGATCCACAGTTGAACAGAAAAGACTGAAGAAAAATAAATTATCAGACTTAGGTGATGCAGAACAGGAATTAACTGAGTAGGGGAGGAAGATGGCAGGAAGTAAAAAAATTGCCTCCTCTTTTGGAGAACTTCACAAAACTTGACCTTTTGTATACAGAGATCGTAAACATAAAGCTCAGCTGAAGTCAAATGCAGGTCACACTTCCAGACCCATCAACACTTTCAGTTTAGGCTATGGTACTGCAGAAAAGGAGTAATTCAGAGGTTCAGAAGCAAGTGTCTCTATACTGAACTCAAAATATCTCTGCAAATATTAAGAAAGTTTATACCACTGCCTTCAGAAATATCATCACAGCACATTGCTTTTTGGTTACTGCTATATTCTTAGCCTTTATCTTCTCTATCTTGCAGTCTTCCTGAATATAATTATGAACTCTGGATCTTATTTTTGACTGGTTCTATGAAATAGTTCCTTATCACTAAGGGACATCTGACCAAGACATACTAATCATGTGCCTAAGTAGATGGCTACAAAACTTGTTCCACAATGTACTATAATTGACTGTCTGCATGAATACACCACAAGCAGGTCCCGGTAGCTTCCAGATACGGGTAAATGTTAGAAAAAAAACAAATTTGGCAGTCAGTTTCAGGTAAGTTTGGATGCAAAATACAAAGTACACACGTGTTTTAACAGACCAATTGTCAGGCTAGCTCTGGTATGTGATCAAAATCCTGTTATCTAAAGATAAAAAGGGAAGAGTTGTTCTCATACTGAGGTATTTTGGGTGTTAAACTCTGAACTTTTACATACAGCATCTTCCTGGGCTTCGCAAGAACATCAATTCAGTCACAACCCAATCTTGTGTGTGATCCTGCGCAGCCTATTGACACCCTTGTCTTATCTGATGTGGAGCACAGGACCTCAATCAGTGTTGCACATTTTTTTGGTTGCCTTGAAAGGAGAAAGTGGGAGAGATGTGTCTCAAATCATGAAGAATCCTCTTACTTTTTTCCAGTTAATGTAGTTGTTGCTGCTCTTCATGTAAGCACCTTATGTGCTTTGACACCTTTAGTCTATTTGCACTGTGACATTAGCAGTTTGGATTGTAAACTGGTATATAAAGTATGCTACTGTGTGCCCTCTTCCAAGAGGGCATATGACAGGCAATTTAAAAAGTGTAACCAGCAGCGTTGTCATACCAGGCCAGGGGAAAGGGAAACAGAGTTGGAATAAATCACTGGGACGTACTTCCTCAGGTCCTGTGTTGCTTAGCAGAGCACACATGGTCAAGGCTGATGGAAACTGAGGTTTGCCTTGTCCCTGCAGACAGCAAGACCAGGCCCTGCTGGTAAGGTGTGTGCTCATTCTGTAATTTTATTATGGAATTACGGAAGCTCTGACACACACTTTTCTGTTACAGGGAAACAGAGTATGAAGACATAGGATGCTCGTAATCACTTGAAGAAAAAGGCAACTGAGCAAATGTAACCACAAAGATTATGAAGCAGTGCCCCGAGGGAGAGCTGATATCAGTTATTATTGTGGAATTGCTGTGCTTCTTCCCTGTTTGAGCCGAGTCCAGATCAGTCTCTCCATCCAGCCACAATCCTTCCCATGGCCAATTTAATAACTTGAATTTCTTAAGAGTTATTGGAATAAAGGACCTTTTCTTTTACCCAGACCGCAGGTTGAGGACTGGGTCTGCTGTGCTGCGAGTGCAATGGAAGTACAGTGCTGGGTAAAACTGGGTAGTTGATGGCTCTTGCAGGCCATGGGTTGGGTAGGCTCTAGGGAACTGATACAGGATAAAAGATCATCATATAAGGCATTGCCCTAGAAAGGAGAGTGTCCAGAAAGATTTTTAAATTGCTTTTAATTTCCTTCACTTTTTTTTAATGAATGTTAATTCTTCAGATTTCCATCCTCAAAGAAGAAAATAAGTCACATGGATTTCTGATGCTTCATCTGATTTTATTTTATCTTTAAGATACAGCTGTGCACAGATAACAGAATATACTCCCTGGCACTGAAATGTGACTGGGAAAGAATTAAAATTAGCAGCCACTGAGGATGCTTAAAAATGTTGGCAGAAGGCAGAGAAACCAAGGGAGTATTTTGTGAGTAGATATCCAGTTTTATTATATATTAGGTTTTATGAGTAGATGTCACTCAACAGCTACATTTTTCAGTGTTTTGGATTTGTGTGAGAGAACCTTAAAACAAACAAACAAAAAAAACCCAATGCCCTCCAAATCCACAGTCCTTCTGTTAGCCCACCCACCCACGGACTGGACATTCTTTTGAGTGATTATCTTTCTCCACTACTTTGTAAGTACAGGTCTCATTGTTGAAAATGCTTACACACTTCTCTTCATCGTAGTCAACTGGTGTTACAAAGCTGTCATTGGGAAAAGAATGACAAAGAGGCGATGAGACCAGGAAGTAAACAGCTTCCATTTCAGTTGATATCTGCACTTTCAATATGAAGAGGCTACACTGAGGAGGTGTTCAGGAACAGAAAAGGGAGCTCCCACAAAGTTCCCAGATCAAAAGTTACTTAGCCTGCTGCTTAACTAGGATTAAGGGAGAGTTGCTTACTGATCTGATTTACACCCAAGGGATGTTTGTTGTGTTTATTTGCTACTCAGATACCATTGATTTTTCTTTTCAGCCACAATATGGAACAAGAATTGCATGGGTGGTTGGGTGTCACTATAGTAAAAATTACAGGCAGGCCAATGTATCTTGAGCTGCTTCTCAGAGAAAAGGGGGGCTGTGCGTGGCTTTGGGAAGGTCTGGATTGGGAGCAGTAGAAAATTGACAGGTAACTACTTATTATCTTTTGAAGCAGTATTTAGCCTAAAATCTTAGCCCCAAGAAGAATTAAGGGTTTTTTTTGATCAAGAGTAATCTCTTAGACATGAGTTATATTTGTCAGAGGAACTTCTTGCATGCCAAGTAATAATGGTCTTGGGTTAATGCATAACTGTGATATAGAGTGAGAGAAGGGTCACAGCTGTTTCTCAGGGACCCTGCATGAAGGGAAGTGCTTTGTGCTGTGTCATGGCAGTGGAGGAAAACCCCCACTGCTGTTCTGAACTCACCTGGAGCAGCAGCTGATTCCACTCCTGTCACAGGAGCAATCATTGCAGTCTGTAGTCCTCCAGCTGGAACCAAATTCATGCAGCTCTCCATTCGAGTCACTGCAGCCTGAAAATGTAGTATGCAAGCAGCCTTCAGTGTCAGATGTATTGCAATGCCATTGCTTGTTACTTTAATATCCCTACCTAGCAAACACTGAGGGTCCCCAACAGAGCAGAACTGCTACTATTCTAACACATAGAGAAGGATATCCTGGGTCTCTCTGTTTCCTGTGGTTCTTGGCAGCATCAGGTTTCCTGGAGTAGCTCATTGTACAGCAAGTACAGGAATCAGAGCACCTAGTGGAAAGACAACTAGGCACAAACCTGGTTCAGAACTAAAAAAAGGCTTTGCCTTCCCCCCTCACTAACACCAACTATTTTTGACTCCTTATTTAGAGCAAGACTATTATTCCTGTCTAACAGTCATGGAACTGCAGACAATTCCAAGCTGAGTGGTGCAGTTGACATGCCTGAGGGACAGGATGACATCTAGAGGGACCTGGACAAGCTTGAGAAGTGGGCCCATGTGAACCTCAAGAGGTTCAACAAGACTAAGAGCAAGGTCCAGCACACAGGTCAGTGCAACCCCCAGTATCAATACAGGCTGGGGGATGAAGGGATTGAGAGCAGCCCTACGGAGAAGGGCTTGGGGGTACTGGTGGATGGAAAGCTGGACGTGACCCAGCTATGTGCACCCGCAGCCCAGAAAGCCGACTGTACCCTGGGCTGCATCAAAAGAAGCGTGGCCAGCAGGTCAAGGGAGGTGATTCTCCCCCTCTACTCCACTCTTGTGAGACCCCACCTGGAGTATTGTATCCAACTCTGGGGCCCCCAACATAAGAAGGAAATGGACCTGTTGGAGCAAGTCCAGAGGAGGGCTACAAAGATGATCAGAGCGCTGGAGCACATCCCATAAGAGGACAGGCTGAGAGTTGGGGTTGTTCAGCCCGGAGAAGAGAAGGCTCCTCTGGGGAGACCTTCTAGCAGCCCTCAAGTACTTAAAGGGGGCTTATACAAAAGATGGGGACAAAGTTTTAGCAGGACATGTTGCAATAGGTCAAGGGGCAATGGTTTTAAACTGAAAGAGGTTAGATTTAGACTAGATAAAGAGAATTTTTTTTACAGTGAGGGTGGTGAAACACTGGAACAGGTTGCCTCCAGAGGTGGTAGATGCTCCATCCCTGAACACATTCAAGGTCAGGCTGGATGGGGCTCTGAGCAACCTGGTCTAGTTGAAGATGCCCCAGCTCACTGCAGGGGGGATTGGACTAGATGACCTTTAAAGGTACCCTCCAACCCAAACTATTCTATGATGCTATGAACAGACTTCCTAAATGAGTGATCTGGGAAGCAAGATTTTAGGACGACAGGACAAGACAGAGTGGATGATTTTGCCTCTAAATATGTTCTGTTTCTTTGGCAATGCTAACTCATTTTTCTATTAGGAGTACTAGCTTTCCCAGAAAAAGCTTTGTTTTGGGGGACCTGGTTTATTTTGCATACTGGCACACATAAGCTCTTCTTGTGTCCAAATAATTGCACTTTTTTGGCAGTTATTTTTCCTGTAGCTTCACTCATCTGCAGACTAAGACTATCTGTTCAGGAAAAGCAGTCCCAGACTCAAGAGGAACAGCCATTCTGTTCTTGAGATGTTTTCTTGGGACAGGGAAACAAGTAATCAGTAAACCAACCAGTGTGCTGAACATTTGCAAATCTGTTTCCTGCTTTATGCTGACCACACATACACACAAAGAAGTCCTTCTCTTCCCTTCTCTGTATTTCTAAATATGCTGCCGTGGTGAAAACCTGATTTGTTACTTCACACAAATTTATAAACTATGCCCCTGCTACTTCCCTGGACAAAATTACTTTGTGGTTTGGCCTGTGTGATGGTTCTCTGATAAACTTTTTTTTTTAACATTTTATGAATTCCCTGCTCTCCATACTGCACACCAGGCCCTGCCCTAGTTCCTTGTGGTTTCTCTCCAATGTTTCCACTTATTTCTAAATTGCAATAAGTTCCACTGAATGGACAAATCAAATCAGGCAGTGCTTGTGGTGATGTCTGTCAAGTTAAAGATAGTTGACTTCTTACCTACAATCTCACCATCAGACACTCCTGGCTTCAATGGCTCTAAGAAGCAAGCAGCATTGGACAGGGTCACACCAATGGCAAGAACAAGAAGGTAGACCAAGATGGTTTTCTGAACAAGAAAGCAGAATTAATATGAATACTTAAGTAAATATTAAGATGTCTTGATGATAAATACTATCATTAGAAACAGGAAAATGCATTGTAGTTTAAGATCAAAATCCATTGTCTTTTGCAGTTCAGACACTTTAAGGAACAGTCAGGAACACTAAGCTGTTTAGAAGGAGCGGAGGCAGAGCAGAGGGGAAAAAAGTTTGTATTTCCAAGCTGTTAAAATCTATCATTGCCTAATACAGGGCTGATAGACTTAGATACTGTTTGTGAAAGGAGTGTGTTCTACTTGTTTCCCCTCCTCACTCATTTTTCTTGTCATTATTTTCTTCAAAGGATTGGTCGCCAACTGTCTCTGCCGCTAACTTCACTCATTGTAAAAACCTATTCACTGGAGTCTGAAGAACCCACTGGATGTTTCACCCTAATATTGAAGGATTAGGAACAAGATGAGGAATTTCAGCTAAAGTTGAATCCTCAAGATTTGGCCCTGCTTTGAGCAGAATGTTGGACCAAATGGCCTGCAGATGTCCCTTCCAAACTAGATCATTCTATATTTTACGACCTTTGTCAGCAGCTTTTTTTATGAAAGTTGAGCTTAAATTCCTCAGCAAGCCCCTTATCCTTCAGCATTAGTTTGAAGTGTTTGAAGGGCTTTCATTGGGGATAAGAAGGAAATAAGTGCAAGAACTCTAGGGTGGAATTAGCTGTGGTTAATTTAAAATCTTGCTAAGAGAGGAAAGGTAGACCAGGAATAACAATTACATATACATACACACTTATATTGCATTTATATGTGGGTTTTTCAGACAGAGTAGAACCTGTGACTTAACTGTTGACTTAAAAAAAATTCATATCTGAGAGATGGGAGGAGGAAAAACTAGCATTTAATTTTACAGAGGAGAGATTAAAACACACAGAACTGCAACAGAGCTGCAAATTTGTAAAAAAACAAGTTAACATGTTTAACTAAATGTTCAGAGGTTATCCAGACTTTTCACAAAAATGAAGGCCAGTTCTAGGTTGAGACACAACACAGCTGCTTTCTGACAGAAGAGAAATTACCTCCAAACATTACAGGTAAGTGAAAACAGGCTATAATAATAATTAAACAAAACTTAACTGGAGTCCTATTAGACGTCTCCTGCTATATATGTGCTGATATCTTTTAGCCAAGGTTCTTGCTTGCCTGTGCCTATCTGTTGGACTCTAGCTCTGAAAGCACAAAATTTCTACTTTCTCCAAGTTGCTTAGAACTCTCAGTACCGTATCTAACAGAACTTCCTTTAAAGTCTATAGCAAAATACCATGGGTTTTTACAGCATAAGATGTAGGGACTCACCATTCTTGCAGAATTAATTATGAGGCTTCCAGTAAGGAGACAACCTGTAAGAAGTTCATCTTCTCAGAGAACTTATATAGAGAGGGAATTTATGATACTAGTCCTTGAGCAAACGGAACATGTGTGAATAACTCCAATGAGGTTCCTGCAAAATGACCTCATGGGCTGCACAGTCTTAAAATAAGCTAATTATATACAGGAAGGTATGGTTCTGAAAGGCACTGAAGAAATAGGTGTGGCTTTTGCCACACCAGATCTGGAAGGCAGTTACCAGACATATTTCAAAAGGAATTTTGAGTCTGTGATGAATATTTAGCAATTGCTCTGAGAAACCCCTTAGAGACATTGTGGCTGTCACAACAAAATTTGCATGCTTCGTTTGAAACATCTAGGTTTTAAAAAAGAGGAACTTTGAACAACCATTCAGCTTGGTCATTAGCTGAAGATGAAAGAAGGCTCTTGTGGAAAAGGAGTGGTGGTTGGAAGGATTACATGTAAAGCAGGGTATCTGTGGAGAGTGGCTGGAACCTCTAGGCCCTTAGAAAGGGGTCCTAGATAACCATTTTCTTTCTTGTTAAATTTTCCATCATGTAGAAGACCCATATGTTCACGTCCTCTGTGAGGGGGGGAAGAAGTAGGCATCATGTATTTTCTTCCTTTGTCCTTATAGCCAGGGAGAAACGCTCCCTTTTTTTGCAGAGGTTGTACATGTCAGGGACAAACAGGCTTTCCAAATGCTTAGAACAGTAATTTGATGGCAAAGGAGTCAAGAACAGTCCCCTTTTGCTTAGCTTTGATCTAGTCAGTTCAAATCTGCAAACTGTATAGCCCTGGTAGGGGAAGAAGTCATCTGCTTATTATCAGGGCTACACAGTTTGCAATACTTTAACTAACTGCTCTGGCTGTCTAATTGTGTTGCCTTATTGTGTTGGTTTGAGAGTCAAGGTTGAACTCCAAGCTCGGATAGCTACTCCATGTCCTCTACCCAAACTCTGGAGTTAAGAGCTAGCTCAGGAGGTCAGTATGAGAAAGCCAGCATTATTGCAATGCATGTCACAGTGAGACCACCCTTCAGAGGGACAGACTTAGCTGGCTCTCAACTCAGAAGTCTGGGTAAATAATTTTTTATTCAATTACCAGTTCTTTCTTCAGGATGGCAAAGAAGAGCTCAAATGCTTGCAGGTATTCATAGGTTTGATTAAAGCTGCCTACAGTCAGTCTATCAGTAGTAAGTTAGATTTGGCAATGCTGATGCCCTTGGCTCCTGATCACTGGTAAACCAACAGAACATGGCAGCCTGTGAGTGTGGACACTGGGAATTTCTTTACTGACATCAACAAAATCCCAATGTCCCCTTTTCAAACAAGCAGTTGTTGCCCAGCTGTTCCCATTGCAGGACCCTCCCTGTCTTCTAGGAGAGAACTATGCCAGATATGGAGAGAAGTTCTTCCAAGCAACTTGCTTTGGAATGCAGCAGGGAGCAACCTAATCCTGGGCAGTGCCTAGGGACAGTGGAGAAGCTCTTTGTGTGATCTGTGAACTTGGATGACCCTAAAAACATGCTGTGGTGCTGAAACCACTCAAAACATCAAACTCTATGTAGATAGTCCATTCATATATTGATTACTGAGGTCATTTGTGGCCCATATTATGTTGTGTTTCTTCACATTGGTTGCTTACAGGATGACAGGTGCCTTGCTTGTGTGGGGAACAGGTATCTCCAACAGATATTGCTCTGTTGAAATCTCATCTTGTCTTCCCAGACAGTTTATTTCTTACTAGAAACATTCTAAGACTATCACTAGACTGCCCAGTTCTGTGCCCTCTTTCTACTTACACTGATGAACAGAGTACCCTGTTTCTCCTTAAAGCAGGGGAAAATATTGGGGACTTTCTTGAAGATTTACCTTACTATTTTACTTAGTCATTCTTCAGCTAGAATTTCTGGTTACATCTCACTGATGACCACAGAGATTATGAGAGTAACGTGAGATTGTCAGCTTTGTTTTTTATGTATTTTTCACTGCTAGGCAACCAAAGAGAAACACAGCATGATTTCACAACAGTACTGTTTGAAATGTACAGTATGTTGTTGTACATAATTTTACAAATAAATTTGTCTTGACCTTAAACTGACAATGCTATGTGTAATGTATATTGGGTTTACAATTGTTAAACAAAGTCTGCCACATTTGCACGTGAGAAAGGACAATCGTTTTTAGGAAAAGTACAAGCAAACAGCACTAAAATATACAGTGCACTGTTGACACAAATATTGTAAATGTGGCAGAAGGAAGTTTTATCTTGGTGGGAACATTTTTGTTAACTCTGAGGCTCATATACTGACAAACCTCAAAACCTATGCCCTCAGATGTCTCCTGGTATAGGGATTAGCATAGAATTGCATTCATTTTACAGGCAAGAGGCACAGATAGTGACTTCTCCCAGGTAACATGTGACAGACAGCAGAAATTTGAATTGAGGTCTCAATTCAAGCTGGGAGGCCCAAGCTGGAGACAACAATCTCATTTCACCCATGTCTCGTTCCCTATGTAGCAGAGTCCCCATCTGTGGGCCAAATTTCAATTTTAATTCAATGCAATATCAGTTGGATGAGAAATTCTTCTCTTCCCCTCTTCCCTCCCCCCCAACCCAAAGAATCCCAACAGCCAAGATATCCCATATCACAAGATGTTGGGATTCTTTCCTCTTTTTTTTTCTCTGCTGTTTTCCACTGTAATGTATAAAATCTTACTTCCTCCCAGTTCATCTTCTGCATCCTTCCTGTCTGTTCCTAATGGGCAGCAACTAGAACAGAACAACAGCAAGAGGGCTGTTGTGGCTCTTATCTCTGGCAGATTTCACCAGAATTGCACCTGGGCTGTTTAGTTCATAATAACACTATGCATTGTGTACTGATGTCAAGAAGGAAGCCAAAGAAACACTGCTGTAAAAATGCCACCATGTCTGGGTCTAATTCTTGAAAGTATTTTAACATTTACTGAGAGCATACTTGTGCTAGAAGAATTGCTATCCCCCTCTCTGAGAAAGCAAACAGGAATCGCAGCACCTGAAAAGGTTGAACATTTAACAGACTTAATGTGGCTTTTTGCATAAAATGACAGCTAATATTTTTATTTTTGCTCTTCCTTCAAATGTGAAATAAATTGCGGTTCAAACACGTGTGGTATTGCCATGGCTCTCTGATCACATACATGTCAACAGATTGACTCCAAATTCTAGGAAATCTAAGAAGCTGAAATCTACACTTAGGATAACAACATGTTGTTTCTAAGGTGCTCTTGTATGGCCTGTCTGGTGTTTCCTGCTAGGGTGAATATAAAAATGGCAAAAAGTTATTCTTCAGTGTCTTACCAAGCAAATAAAACACAAAAATATTTCAGGTTTGGAGAGGCTCTGTTGGGATTTCTGAGGAAGTTACTGAAACGTGACTAGTGATCAACAAGCAGTTTCATTGCTGTAAAGGATGGAAAACTGAACTGGTACCTCTCTATGTTTCTGCCCTACACATTTCCCTCATCTTTGGTGGTATGCAAATAACAAAAAGGATTCAAAACAGAAGGTGAGGGCTATATCATCATGCTTTCCTGCAGCTTGATCATCTAATGAATGAAAAAAAAACAAACTTACCTGCAGCAATGCTGTTAAGTATTGTCCCACTCAGACAGGCTTTCTGGTTTATAGCAAGAGAGATTCAAGATTCCTGAGTTTCATTGCTAAAATTGTTTTATTTAGGGGAAAAAATAGTTTTAGTAGTGCCAGCTACTCTGGCAATAGAAAATCCAATACATCTGAAGGTAATTTCTGGGTCTCAGTGAAGCCACACTATTCTCTGGAGCTTCTAGGTCAGTTGTCTGTACACTTCCATGGCCTGCTAAACTCACCAGAATTAATTTCCTTGCTTCTCTGCTGCCAGCTCTTGTTTGTGCTGGGCTATTCAGATTTTGCTTCAAGTGCATGTGGTAGAGGAGGTACTCTTGTAGTGGAAGATGGACTTCCCCACCCACAGATAACTTCTGGAAGGATGTGTTAATCACACTGGTCAAATGTTCTGGTTCTTCCCAGTCCAATAACCTTAAAGAATATATTAAGCATGAAATCTAAAGCCTGTGCCAGATTTCTTGTTTCAGTCATTCATGCTTTTACTGGTGCTGTCAGCAAATCAGAAATCTGCAGTGAGAAAGTCATCTTCATCTGTAAGAAAATTGGCACCTAGATTCTACATAAATTCTTGGGACCCCAGGATATAAGAAGGCTCCAAATTATATATAAATAAAAGTCCAAATAAGGTAATAAGTAGAATAGAATTCTGCTTAATTTAAAAGTGAACTAGGTATCTGTAAATAATTTAAAATATGAAGTATTTTTTTTTTTTTTTAAATAGGGTATTTTTGCTTGGTCTCCTGTGTGTAGCAGATTTAGGATATTACTAATTGCCAGGTGGGAGATCTGGTTTTGAAGCCCATCACTGGCTGGACTTCTCTCCCCAGGGAATGTGGGGAATTTTTATACTGAAGAGATAGAAGGCATCCGCCTTTTATTAGTACCTCAAGCTCTGCTGCCATGAGGAAGCAGGTCTCCAGGAGCTGATCTAGATGTTTTTTTCAGTATGGACAAGAACCACTGTAGTGCAGTGTGTAGTGTGTGCAGACTTTCCAGGAGCAGAGCCTGGAAGAGGACACCTGGCAGCAGGTCAGAGTGGGCAATGGAGGGAAAGTTTTTTTTCACTGCTATTGGATGATAACACCGCTGAAAAGAAAAAAAAAGTGGGGGGGAAGGATTATGATCTTCCATCTTCACTGTTTTTTCAGAGGTCATAGGTGTTAGCAGCATGGATCTTGCAAAAATCCCTGCATTCATATTCAGGTGTGCCCCGAGTAGGAGCCATTGTACTGCATGTCCCAAGCAGTGCATCCCTTCCAAATGATAATGGATTTTGACACCTGGTGGGCTAAAATATCTGCTCTGACCCTTGGCTAAAACAGAACCTGTAAAGTGTGAGAGCGGCTTGTGCCAGGGTACTGGTGCACAGCATGTCAGAGTAGTGAGGCGAATGCATTCCTTTCTCAAAGAAGGTGACATTGCCCTGTGTTATTACATAAAAAAGAACCATTGTTATGAAGTACTTTTTTCTGTTTCATCTGGATTTATTGTATTCAAAAAAGCTCAGCGATACCAATGCAAGTAATGACAGAAATCAGACACTGTATCCTCACATACTGAATCAGAACAATTAGGAGATTAGAAGTGAGCTACTGAAGTACTCTCTTTTACAGGATCTCCCATGTCTTTGAGCTTCTCTGTGATGGCAAAGCACCTGTAAGAAGGGGAGGAATTCCACAGCGCAGAGAGGTTCAGAGCAGGTGGGCTGTTAGCCTACACGAGAATAGACAAAGCATTCCTTTGTGGGGTCACTCTTGTCCACCACGTCATAGTCACAGCTTTTCTTGTTGAAAACGACTTTACACTTCTCTTTGTCATAACCAATAGGAGTATGAAAGCTGTCATTGGCAAGCAGAAAGTAAATGTTAGATCAAGAGCAACAAAAGATTCAATGGTTCAGTGATTATAGCTTCAACTAATGCTGAGTGAGACATCTCTGAAACTACAGATAAGACCAGCCTAGCAAGCTCAAGTGTCACACAGCTATAGCTTCCAGGGCCTTAAATGATGCCTTGATGCACTGTGTTTTGTAGACGTACCAGTATGCTCAGTACTACCATGGGGATTTCTAGCACAGGACTCCACAGTGTGGCATAAGCATGGTCTTGGCATATTTTATTACTTTTCCATTATTTTTTTCATTATCGACAGTTTGCTTAGAATGTGATAGCTGTTCCCTGATAGATGGAGTGTCATCTGAGTAAAGGTGATGATCATAATCAAGCCATTCTGGCTATTTGAGAAGGAAAAGAGGATGTTGGAGATAGATACTTCAGATCAAGAGCCTTGTCTCTGGGGTCTAGGAGAAAGCACCTCTGGAAAGGGATTCAGATAATCATAAGCCCTTCAGAGGAGCTACACTTAAGGTCCTTGTGGAATGAATTCCTTTCTACCCTCACTTTCCCTGCAAAGGAAAGACTTAACTGCAGTGTAAAAAGGGTTCACAAGTTCCTCAAAATTAAAGGCAAGCACCAGCTGGATGTGTCTGGAAGGGCCTGTGTCCACTCCCAGTCAGCAGAAAGTGAGCTAAGGTAAAAACAGCCAAAGATCCAAATGATCAATAGCTATATGCGGCTTGCCCCAGCTCTGTGACATGGGTGAGGAAAGGCTCTCTTGTGCCCTTAGAAACTCATTTATCCCCAGAAAATGGAAAGCTGTGGTCTTCCTATGGGCAATGACGCTACCAAGAATTTCAGACTTACAGGGAGCAGCAACGCATTGCATCTTGGCTGCAGCTGCATCTGAAGCAATCTTCTGTCCTCGCAATCTCTCCAAAGGGGTATAGTTTTTCATTCAGGATACAGCCTGAATAAGACAGCAGCAAAACAAAACACATTCTTTAAGGCTCCACACAAAGGCTGAAAAGTTTAAAAATTACTTCAAGTTTTCTGAAAGTGTCTTTCTTGGCAACAGTAAAGTAGGAGTCATTTTGTTCTCTGGATTATTACCTGGACTATTTTGAGAGCCTGAACTTGTTTCTTCTTCACTTGTTAGAGACAGTTTCACTATGACAGATCTGGGATGAAAGTGAGCAACCTCAGGAGCAACCACCTGGCACCTGACTTATTCAGAACTACTCTCAATGCCTGCATCAGCTCCATGTGCTGGAATCGCAATAGCAACCCACCACCAATAGCAATAATATCGCTGCAACCATACCGAGTCCAGGGGAAGACACTGTTTTTCCCTCTTTTGGCAAATTGGTGCTGGACCCTCCTATTCATGTCTTTCTGACATCTCCCTCCTCTCTTGTATTTTGAGCCTTTCCTGGCAGTTACACATAGAGCCAAGCTACCACAGAACAATCAACTGACAATACCTTCCCTGTTCTTACCTTTGTCGGCCTCACCTGGCCTGTTGATTTTAGTAAAGCAGTATGCATCACTCAGTGTCACTATGATGCTCATCGCAACAAGGAAAGACAGAAAGCTCTTCTGTAAAAGAGACACAGAGCTCATGGCATGAATTTAATTTCACTTTGATTATCTTTGTTTTCAAAAGTTAAGTCACTGAACCTGAAGAAAAAATTAGGAATGGTCATCTGTGTAAATGAATATGTTTGAAAAGCACACTCCGGATATTTCACTCCATTGATGATGTTTTCCTTTAGGTAGGAAGAGACAAAATTATATGACATAAATGTGTCAGCAGCATCGCTTCCTTCTGAAGTCCAATCTCTAGAAATCACAAGAAGCTTTGATAGTATTACATACTTGAAAGCCCTGTCAGACTCTTATTAGTGTTTAATTTATTGGCTTTGAGTCAGATTTACCTATTTCTCTAGCAAATCACCTTCTGTATAGCATCCCTTTGCTTCCCTTTAGGGTACAGCAACTTTTTCCAAATTTGGCAGTGGAGTGGAGATGTCAGACCTAATTGTATTCCAGTAAGTTTTTCTAAATAGGTGTCTGAGTAGAGAAGAGAGACACAAATTAATGTTTTAGGGCAAAATTCTGGTGTTGTACATTCTCTTCAGCATCGTGTGACCCATATCATCAAACCATGCACACACAGGTCTGGATGTGTCAGAGTATACCCCTCCTCTTGTCTGCTGGTGGCAATAGCTTTTGCCTGGTGGTGGCAACAGCTAAATATCTGTAAGAACTCTTCAGAGATGTTTTTTTCTGAACAACCAGGATTATTTTGAAAAAGCCTGCATAATCTTGTAATGGTGGTTCTACTGGGGTAGAGGGACTGGAAAAGCATGAGAGAGCACAGGATTATTTTGATGGGATGCTCAAGCTGAATAACTTAAGGCAAAAGTTTAGGAATGCCCAGAGACTGAGAATCAATGGAAGAAGTTATTTAGATTTTCATGATAGCACTTGCAAGTTAACATGAAGGGATTGTAAAATGAGTAGATACTTCCAAGTTACTGTTGTAAAATCCAGAGGCTGTTGCTACTTGAAACTAGCCTTTAAAATAACAGTGAAAGGCTTTGTTTTTAGGCAGCTTTGCTGTCTACGTTGGGTTACTTGAATCATGAATGTCAAAAGACACTGAAAACTCCTGTACCTTAGGCAGATGGTGAGCCAGGGGGAATTTCCTCTGTTGTGGAAAAAAAAAAAAAAACCAAAACCTTGCTATTTTAATCCCTGATGTGCTGCTTTCTTACAGGGCTGAGGGACATTTATGGCTTTGTTTTTAGGCAGCTTTGCTGTCTACGTTGGGTTACTTGAATCATGAATGTCAAAAGACACTGAAAACTCCTGTACCTTAGGCAGATGGTGAGCCAGGGGGAATTTCCTCTGTTGTGGAAAAAAAAAAAAAAACCAAAACCTTGCTATTTTAATCCCTGATGTGCTGCTTTCTTACAGGGCTGAGCGACATTTACGGTGTAGTGAAAGGGAGGAGGGGGGTCTACAGAGTGGTCTGGGAAGGGTGTAATGCTTAATTTCCATAGTGTTTCAGTGACTTGGAGTTCCTCAGCCTTTGGGGTAGAACAGAGACAGCTGCAATTGCTGAGCACCATAGCTAAAATAAAAAAAAGTTAAGAAGTAGGACTGAAACTCTTGAACTGTGCTGTTCTGTGGTGCCTGGCCAAAGGAAAATTGACTAAGCAATTCCTGTTCTGTGAAGTTGTAGGATGTAATATTGCAGTTGGTGTCTGTTGAGGTTACACAGGCATTTGGTATGGATCTGCGGGGCTGTCTGTGCTGTGCATCTCTCAGAGGCTGTGTGAGCTCAGGGAATCATGGCTTTCCACAGAGGATCTCAAAATGCTTGGGATACTGCTTGCTGTATATTAGACATCCATCTTGAGTCTGATGGTTGCTTTCCTACAAACCAGTTCAGGCGTTTGCAAGATCAGAGGCCAGTTCTACCGGAGGTCTTACTGCTATCACCCATGTCTTTACATAAAAGACTGAAGTCCTTCTGCTGTGCCAGGCTGTCTTCTGTGAAGGTTTTATCCTTTGTCTGGTGCAACATTTGTCCTTATCTTGCTATTCCTAGAAATGTCAGTCAGATGAACTTGGGCATGGTTCTTTCTCTAAAGACCAAAGTTCTGGACCTTCCACTGGATCTGAACAGAAACAGAAGGGGACATCTGTGGTGTCTAACTGCTGTCTGAACTGGCTATGCTGGAACAACCAAAGGATACATCAGCTAAGCAACAGGTAGTTAGCAGTAAAGCGTCCACTGAGCACAGAGGGTATCAAACACGTGAGAAAGCATTGTCAGAAACAGTATCCTTTATTAGAAATGACAGAGATTGTTAGTGTTACACTGATGTCAAGGGCTCTTAGTTCAACATCAGAGTTGTGTTGTTCAGGGCAGTCTGTGAGCAAGGCATTTCAAAGAAATCTTGTTCACCAGCCATCTTGCAGAACAGAATCTTCCAAACTGGACTTAATGGCCTTTGAAAGTGGGTGAATTAATGTGGAATGAGATATCAGATAGTTTTGTTCAACTAAGTCTTGTCTGAGTATGGACAAGCCCTCAGGAAAGCTTAGGCAGAGAAAAAAGTAGATTAAAAAAATCTGCTTTTATTTATGACTCTACATATATTACAGAAACTACTGCCTCTTCTGTAAAATTTATGCTATTCCCGAGGTTCTCCTCAAAGGTAGGAATTGGTGTCTGTACCTTTGGGGATTACGTGAGCATAAATTAGAGGAAAAACTGGGCCATAGGGCTTTGTCTGTCTATCTTAGCATTACCTAACTGTTGATTCAGATTCTGCAAATACATTTGGAGGCTTGAAGAGCTGAAACAGGACACAACTTGATAGAGCAAAAGAGAAATGCAGACAAAATACAGCATGTATTACACTTTTCATTATAAAGGGACTGTATTTCAAACTGTATTTCACATCTATATGTTTTTAAAGCATGGTCTTAAATGTTTACAACATTATGAATATTTTCACAAACATTTCTGGAAAAAGGATAACAGTAATTGAAAGACCAAGAGAAATATGTGTACAAAGAATTACAAAAGAAAGAACAAAATACACTGTAATCTTCACAAAGGTGTCTTACTTTCTTTGTATCTTGCAGTTTTTTTAATAGAATATATCCATATTTAAAAATGTGTAACTAGGTGATTCTCTTAAATGTCCTCCTTTGGCAGTTTTAAAACAAATAGCTATCTATATCCTAATTTAAAAAAAAAATATAAACCTTTGTCTTACCATTGTGGAATGCTCGGCTGCCAAAGGGCTCCAAGTCTGCCGAAGAACTCTGCAAGTGCTTTAAGTGGAATCTGAGTGGAATTATGGTGCCTTTATGTTGAGAAATTCAAGTCCAGGAAAAAAAAGCTTACTCAACTCAAATGCAGTTATGTTGAAATGTCTGAAGAAATCACTGAAATTTTGCCAGCTGGCAATGAGAAAATGTTTGACTCTGTAGAGCAGTGACCTGAACAAAAGGTTGAACCTGGAACTTCGTATTCCCTCAAAATGTTATGATTAGAAAAAACGGCTTTCTGATGAAATACAAGTATTGGTAGCTAAACTGTAGGCAGTATTGTACAGTTAGGTGATTTTTAGCTGTAGCAGAAATGCATGCTGACCAATTCTGCTATCAGTGGGCCGGAATATGCTCAGAGTAGAGAACTGGGTGTTAATATCTTAGGGAGCTTTTGCAAGATCTTTGCATACTCATGTTTAACACTGCAGTGTGTGCTGTAAGATAAACAAAGGTACTTGGCTGTTACCAGTATTAAAACCTCTTACCATTCAGATCTTAGTCAAAGCTGGATCACATTACAACATTTCTCTTTCTCCTCAACTTAAATAAGGATTTCCTCTCAAATCAAAAGTTTGCTCTTGCTCCTGTGGGACTGTTCAGGCTTTGACCCGAATAACTGTCATAGAGTGTATGATCACTTCTATATGTGCAAAATACTTTCATAGGCAGTGTTGAATTTCAGATTGCTATTTAAATACCCTGCTTTCTCTTGCTCCTGCAGCCTCTTTTTGGAATGAAATAACAGACTGTGGCCCTACCTATGTTTAAAAAAGAAATGCTTTGTTACAGATGCTGGCAAGAAATTTGAAACTCATTCATGTGGGAGATTTATCACCAGCTACAGGAAATTTGGTATATGATTTTAAGATTACATTTAGAAGCTTTGAACAAACAAATCGACGAAAATTTGGCTATACTACAAGCTAAACAATTTTGGGCTTATTTTTTATTTTACAGTAAATTAAGCACAGAGTTGTAAGTTTTGAATTGTGGAACGGTGGCAGGAAAAGTTGTCATTTTTTTCCTTTATACCATGTATTTCTGAGTAGTAATAATAATTAATTTGACTTTTGAATGTATTCAATCCAATTTTTTTTTAGCAGGAGCAAAAAAGAAAAGATTAAGTACATTACATTACATAATTCCATGACCTCCTTGGAGGAAATGCTGAAGTTGAAGTCTGTGCAAGTTTGATAGTCCTTTTCACAAGAAACACATAATTCATGAAAAGTTACTAAGCATTCAGTTTTACAGACTATACACCTGAGGGTTGTTTTTTTTTTTTTTTGTTCTGATATAATCACTACATGTTTTAAACCTTTCATTTCATGAAAATCATGTTTATGTCATTGATAAAATTCAATAAATTTCCTTTCTTATCCTTTGCTTCTGGCATACTAGGTAATAGTACTTTGTCATCAAAATCTTCCTCTTGTCTGTGCTTACGGAGTGTCAGGTCAGTTTATAACTTCTCTCAGGTAAGTACACTGTTTTTGGTCTTCAGTTGTGTAGCACAGATTTCCTTTTATTCCTGTAACCCATTTCTGAACAGTCTCTAATGTGACAGTATCTCATTTCAAATCTGAGTATAGAACAAGTTATGAAAGCTTGTAAGTGTTGTGAAAATAACCCCAGACACCATGAAGGACATAATGCCCTTCCTGTGTATACATCCAGGGATCACATCTGCTCTCATAAGCACCATGTTGTTCTAG